TTGGAAAATGGAGGAAGAAAATAAACACACCTGTAATACACTTGTTTTAGATGTCAATGAGATTCCCAAGTGGAGCTGCCCCAAAGAGGAGAAACCAGAAACAGGTGCCGATATTAAAGGTCAACGCTGGAGTAAGAAACAGAAGTCATCTATGTATCAAAACCAAATCCTAGTTTTAAAAAGGATTAGTACCCTCAGTACAATGATAAAGCACTAAGCCTTGGCTCAAATACAGAACGGTCTTTGGGTGAAAACATAATCCATTCTGAGCCGATTAGAATATACACCTCAGTAAGTAGTAGGATTGGATATCCACTTCCTCAACCTTTTTCTTTTAAAGTTTAAAAAACTGACCATTTTGTGAATATCTGCTCTAATGACCCAGATAAACACCAGCCAAGCCTTCGGAAGGAGGCATCTCTAAGCCAGAAGGAGAGTTGAGAAGCTTGCTGGGTCTTTCTACAGAAAAGTGAGAAAGTGAGAAGGAACCATCTCCTACCACATCCAGTTATTAAAATTAAAATGAACTTCTGTCTCTTTCTGTACAAAAAAGACTGTTGGATTCTTCCATAACTCAAATTGGGAGGAACATGGTAGTAAGGATTTAATTCACTACTTTATAGCTTACTAGCTCTGTGATCCATTACACCCCAAACAAGAAAACATGTGGGTGGGGAGGGTGGCTAGAACCATCAAGAAATTTAAAAGAGATTCTGGTGGAAATAAAATTAAAGCTACAGTCAAGAAACCAGATGTGAGTCCTGCTATTAATTACAATACACTACTCAAGGATTTCACCTAAGTGCCTTTGCCCCTTCATTTCTGATGGGCGTCATTACATTCTATCCCAAAATATGACGCCTTGGCATTTGAGAAAACTGCAGAAGCAGGAAGGTATCTCTGACTTTCCTCTCAGCCTTCACCCCTGAAGTAGGTCATAACAGAATTATCTGACCTTCCTCCGTGCAGTTGGTCATAAGACCCCCCTTCTGGAGGTATCCTGCCTGTATCTGAAGTATAGGAACATCCTTATCCTCAAAGACACGGGGACGCCAAGAAGAATCTGAACTGACAGGCCTTGGTAAATTTCCCCCAGCGTATTTCTATTAGATCACACCTTGTTGTCCTCCAATCATGTTCTTCCACAACTATGCACTTCATCATCAAACTTAGTATCAAAAAATGCACTAGTTGTCCAGGCACAGTGGCTTACGCCTATAATCCCAGCAATTTGGGAGGCCAAAGCGGGAGGATCACTTGAGGTCAGGAGTTCAAGACCAGCCTGGCCAATATGGCGAAACCCCATCTCTACCAAAAATACAAAACTTAGCCAGGCGTGGCGGCACACACCTGTAATCCCAGCTACTCGGGGAGGCAGAGGTGGAAGAATCTCTTCAGCCGAGAGGTGGAGGTTACAGTGAGCTGAGATTATACCACTGCACTCCAGCCTGGGTAACAGAGCGAGACTCTGTCCCAAAAAAAAAACACACACACAAATTTACCTGTTTCTTTGAGTCTTCATTTCTGAAGGCTCCCATATCACATAAAACTTATGTTAAATATATTCGTATGTTATTTTCACTTCTTAATCCATCTTTTGTTGTAGGAGTCTCAGCCATGAACCTAGCAACAGATGAGGAAAAAAAATCTTTTCCCCCTTACACTTCCAACATATAAAAAATAGGTTTAATAAAAAGCTTTTAGAACCAGGACGTTTTTCTTTTAACAATATTTTATTCTTTCACTCATATTACTTTAATATTCATACGTGTATTCTGCCATGTAAATAACCTTTCCAAATTATGTATCAGTCTACTTGCATCATGTCAAATTTTCAAATCTCTATATTTCCACTAAGATACATATTCTCCTTTGGAATCTTTCTGCACGTTTATATGAATAAATTAAATAGTATCTCTACAAACATAGTGAAGTAATATATTTGTTTTGGGTTATTACATAACATTAAATAATTATATCTCAATGCAGTATTTTTTTCATATGTGACAGTGAAACAAGGTTTTTACACAAAAGCTGGTTTTATTAAAATAAAATTTACATAAATTATGAAGAGTCTATTTGTGTGAAAGCCCCTCTTCAGATATATTTTCCACTTGCCTATATGTAACATATACCTTAGCATGAGATAAAAATCATTCAAGTAGTACAGCTAATAAATTTGAATTGTATTTTTAGTGTTAAAAAGAAAGAAAATGTAACTGTTTAAGATTCAATAAAGGTGATTTCTCATTTTCCTACTGTTTTCATCTCTCTTTTTTTTTTTTTTTTTTGAGATGGAGTCTCACTCTGTTGCCCAGGCTGGAGTGCCATGGTAGGATCTTGGCTCACTGCAACCTCTACCTCCTGGGTTCAAGCGATTCTCTTGCCTCAGCCTCCCGAGTAGCTGGGATTACAGGTACCTGTCACCACACCCAGCTAATTTTTTGTATTTTTAATAGAGACAGGGTTTCACCATGTTGTTTAGACTTGTCTCGAACTCCTGACCTCGTGATTCGCCCATCTCGGCCTCCCAAAGTGCTGGGATTACAGGCGTGAGTCACCGTGCCTGACCCTGTTTTCATCTCTTAACCTACTTCTCAGAGTTTGTTTCTAAGTGGAAGCAGTCCTCCACCGAAGCACTACCATGAGGTTTTAGAACGCTCTGCCTGTTTTACACCTGTTGAGAATAAAATGTTTGGACTTATGAGTAAGCCCATCAAGACAAAATATTGGGATGTCAATAATAACCCTTTTAAAAATGGTTAGTTCTTCAGACAGAGAAAATAAAAATCACCCTACATTTCTACCCCAGATTAACTTCCAAAAAACAAAAAACTGGCTATACCTGTTCTGGAGTATGGTAGCTACATGTGTGTGGGGTCCCCTAGTTTTCCCCATTTTTGTCTCTGTCCTGACCAAGAAACACACAGTGCCTTGACCCAGCCAGCTGATGTTTTCCTCTGCAGGTCTGAACCCCAGCCTGGGCCTTGAACATTCCTAGGCACTAATAAAGGTGTTTAGGTTGTTGCTGGAAACACTGAAAGATCAACCATGTTGCTAAACATGTGGAAGCCAGCCCAGCCCCCACCCAAATTCCTTACATCCTCATGTGAACTCCATCACCTGACCCCCTCACCGGGGACATGCCCAGGTAGAACATCCCTTGTCTCACTGCCCATCACAAGGACGCTGCAGCCCACGCTGTGTGTAAGCTGCCCTCATAAATGCTTTGGACTGATCACCCTGCGATTTCGTGCTTCTTCCTTTAGAATTGCAACTGGCCCCGCCTTGGAACGGTTTGGAGCATTCTGTCATGGGAATTCCCCATCAGGTCAAACCCAAGGCTAGTGTGACTCCAGCCTTGGGTTTGACCTGATGGAACAATGTGGCTATTTAAATTGAATTGAATTGAAAGATGGGTTCTTCAATCACATCAGTCATTGTTCAAGTGCTCAAGAATCACGTGTGTCTGGTTTACCACCTTGGACAATGCAAATACAGAACATTTCCATCACTGTAGAAAGCTCCACTGGATGGTACTGGGCAGGACCACAGAGGAGACGATTCATATAAAAATATGCCACTATATACATATTTTCCTTCTTAGTCACAAAAGCTGCTTGGTTTTTTAGTTAGAACAATAATAACACTGCTATTGCTGTTTGATTTGCTTTTGAGACAGGGTCTCACTCTGTCACCCAGGCTGGAGGGCACTGACACAATCACAGCTCACTGCAGCCTCGACCTCCCAGGCTCAGGCGACTTTCCCACCTCAGCCTCCTGAGTAGCTGGGACCACAGGCACGTGCCACCACACCTGGCTAATTTTTTTGTGGAGATGGGGTTTTGCCATGATGCCCAAGCTGTTCTCAAACTCCTGGGCTCAAACAACCTGCTTGCCTCGGCCTCCCATAGTGCTGGGATTACAGGTGTGAGCCACCGTGCCCAGTCAAAGTTATATGTTTAAGCTTATTTATCTTCAACACCGTCAGCCACAACCTGTTTATTTTAGCCCAGGACAGTGGTATAAAAATAAGAGATTGTGTATAATTTCTCCAAATCATGTGATGTGACATAAAAGCCCAAAGTCCTGTAATGAATCCCACCTCTCCGAAATTCAAACAGCCCATGGGCTCCCTCTGGACTGAAGCATCTTTGCTATGGGCAGAGTTGTCCTGTGGTACCCACAAGGAAGCCTTGCTAGGAACTCCTTATCAGTGCGGACGGGTCATCGCCGTTACCCTACATGGCCATCTTGGAGGAAGGGACCTCGAGGGCATTGCCTTTGCTCTTTACCAAGGTGTGTCCCAGGACCCCCAAGGTGGCCACTCAGGGCAGGATGGCCATCCATGAAGGCCACTGAAGACTTCCCATCAACAGCCAGGCCCACACTTCCTCAGCTAGAGCTACCCACGCACCATCTGAGCATCTCGTGCCCAATGCATGGGCAGATATTCCAGCCTTTCTTTCCACCTTCAAGGCCTAGATTGTACCTACAAGTCTCTCCTGGGAGCCTACACTTGCCAAAATATAACTTAAAACATATGGAAATAGCAGTTTATATAAACTCAAGGAAGATTATTCTCAGTAAAAGAAATAATGAAACTTTCAAAATAACAAAGTACTCTCATTTGATTAGTCCAATATAAATGCTCTTTTCACAATCCTTTTTTGTTTGTTTGTTTTGAGACAGAGTCTGGCTCTGTCACCCAGGCTGGAGTGCAGTGGCACGATCTCGGCTCACTGCAACCTCTGCCTCCCAGGTTCAAGTGATTCTCCTGCCTCAGCCTGCTGAGTAGCTAGGATTACAGGTGCCTGCCACCACGCCCAGCTAATTTTTTGTATTTTTAGTAGAGATGGGGTTTTGTCATGTTGGCCAAACTAGTCTCGAACTCCTGACCTCAGGTGATCCACCCACTTCGGCCTCCCAAAGTGCTGGGATTACAGGTGTGAGCCACCACGCTCGTTCCCTTTATCTTTTAACAATGCACTTAATTTCCATATTTGGTCTTTTAGTTATAATTCTTAAAAATAAGACATTTTAAAACATATTAAATGTGCATTATTTGGAAACAAGTGTATGCAAATGAACCTGGAAATATCAATAGATAAACCAATTTTTCAATTCACCAATCCATGGAGGGAGATATTCATGTATTTGACATTTGAAAACCATTTTTCTTAGCAACTATGACAGTGGTTTCTAGGCTTTGTCCTTAAGCACAAGCCATTCTTCCTATATGACATGATCATAACAAAGATTTATATATAGCTCCAGAGAATAGTGAGATTTGCAGTCTTCTGATAGATATCAAAGTTGAAGGCTAAAAGACACTTTGGTGGTATAGCTGGGAACAGATTCTGTAACAGAAAGAAAAAAAATAGGCTCAGTCATTCACCATTTTATTATGAAATCTAACTACATGCTATGGCCTATGTCAATACACCCATTATTGTCACTTCATGTTTTAAGTATAGAGATACTGTATAGGTGATAAATAATGCATCTGTCACCATTAAGTCAGCCATCACAAATGTGCAGTCAAACTTTAGAAATGTTTAGATCTAAGAATCGTTAACTCTCATTCTTTTGCAATCTTTCCAGCCAACTTATAGCTACATCAAGATCTTGGAAGCTGTATGACCCTATAGTATTAACAGTTGACAAAATAGAAATAGATGGTCACGAACTTGGGACTGTGGATAGTAGTAGGTGGCAGAGGGTACCGTTTGTAAGAGAAGTTTGGGCTGTTCCTAAACCATACACCATCTTTCAAAGTAAACCTTCTCTCAGCCTTGCCCTGCCCACTAGTTGCTGACCCCTCTTCTGTCTCCCTTCACAGCCAAATTTTGTCAAAGGATGGTCTATATCAATGGCTCTCAGAGTGTACTTCTCAGACACAAGACATCAACATCACCAGGGAGCTGGTCAGAAGTGTACTTTGTCAGGCCCTGCCCCAAGCCTGATGAGTAAAAACTCTCATTCCTATGTTTACTAAAGCTTGAGGACCAGTGAGGGGTTCACATTCTCATTCTTCTGGAATCACACAAGATTGTAGGCCCTTATGGACAGATTAAATCTACTATTTTTTCACTCAGACATTGGTCTAATGGGGAAAGAAGGAAAACAGGGAAGACACCATGATAAAGAAAAGAAAACAAGCAAATTTTTTAAAATTCAGAGCATATGCCTGACCACATCTAGGTTGAACCATCAAAAAGTGGCATTTCTGTAGGACAAAACCAGCTTAATATTAGAAATATTATGTGTTCAATCTAATATATATGAATACATACACGATAAAATTATTATTATTTAGAAATAAGTAAACAAATTAAAAATCTATCATCCTAAAGTTAATTTTTAAAAGCAAATTATTTTAAAATAAATTAATCTATTTAAATAATAATAGCTAATAAGATATCAATAAAATTAATAATAATATATTTATTAAATGATACTATTTTATAATAGATAAATATATTTATTTTATTTAAATTGATTAATTTTAAAAGCAAATTATTATTACTGGCCACATAGATCTAAAACTTAACACCTATTTTCTTTCTTTCTTGTAGTTTTACGTAATAGCACTACAATATAATTATGAATAAATAAATGAGTAAAATGGAAGACTAAAGGTTCTCACAAGAGGAAAACCATACAACACAAAGGTAAATTTTGACAAATAAATGGTTCTGTTATTTCAGTTTCACATTTACAATAAATTTCTACTTTATTTCATATTAGTTCAGCATTCAAAATTAGGGATATCCAAACAGATTAAAAGTAACCATATAGAAATTTTAGTTTAGCCGAAACAATTTTTAATTTGCCCAATAATCTACACTTTTCATCATTTCTGGCTATCTAAATGTGACTAATCGTCTTCAGACATCTACTGATGAGGGAGGGGCATGCCCACGCGTGCCATTTTCTGAGGGTGGCTGAGGGAGCCTGCCCACAGATGCTCATCATCAGAGGCCCAGGGCCAGTGCTGCTTCCTCCCTAAATCCACATGCGGGACATCTCTCTTCCTGCCAGGTCTGCACCTAGCTCATCAAAGAACTGAAAAATTAAGGAATAACTCTCAGGTATGCACACCCAAAAAGGCGGCAGTGATTAGAAGACCAAAGACTGACGTATGCCTTTTTCCTGGGGAGGCCGTCTTGTGATGGAAGGAAGGGATTAAGGCTTCCAGAACATCATTAGGATCTCTCCACTCCTTTGGAAACAGCCACTGGAATCTGGCGCTGGGAAAAAACCTTCCCACCCTTTCCTCAGGTACTTGACCCGCCTCGCCCCTCTGTATTCTCACTACCCTATGGAAACCAAAACTAAATGCATCTATGCGCAAATTGGCCATCCTGCACTTCCCTTTTGTGATTTTTATGTAAGTGTTCTTGATTTATATGAGGTAACTTTTTCAAAAGTTGAATTTAAATGGATTTTGAAACGTCATCTTATTTTTCATGTAACTTAGGATACTATTTTGTCAATATCGTTTAGTTAAAAACTCACGTGTGGTTAGTAATGCAACCCTCACATTTTAAGCGCACATTTCCCAGCTTCTCTGTCAAACAGTGGATGATTCATCAAGCATTCAAATGGACTAGGACAATTTGATATTTTAAGGAAATGTATCATTTGGAATGTGTTGGAGAGTAAATGGAAAAATAATTTACAAAGTAACGTGCCCCTCAACCCATAAACTTTTTGTCAATTTGACTTCTATTAACAAATGTATTACACAAGTGGAAGTCTGTACACTCATTTTAAATAATTTTAAATATGAGTAACCCACCTCTTTCTTTAAGGTCTTCAATATAGGCTTTCATAACTTCTTTATCAAAATGTTGGCGATCCCGTTCACTTTCCATTATTTCATCGCCATCTTCACATCGGGCATTATCAATAGGGTTGTCCATAAGGCTTACAAATCTATTCGAGAAAGCATGGAAAGTATCACATTGTCACCTGTGCATTTTAAATTGCAAAATTCCTCACACAAAATAACCTCTGTTATCCCAAGTTCCGGCTTATCTTTAAAAGTCACCATTGACCCCATGATATTAGCATCACCAGTGCAATTCCAGTGTGGAATAATCCAACAGTAATATAGAGCCAGTTTTAAAGTACAGACTGTTCAGAGGCCTGATGGGGAAATGAGAGCTCCCTAGTCACAGGCAGAGAGGACAGGAGGCCATGGAGTGGACACTAACACCTCCTCTCTCAGGCAGATCCTCACAGCTGCATGTCGTCCTGCAATGTTTGATGTTACTCCCAGTAAGGGACATCCATCTTTAAAATGATGTGTCCAAATTACAAAGGACTCAAGGAAAATCCCCACAAAATGGGTATTTAAAAGATAGGACATGACTCGGCGCAGTGGCTCACTCCTATAATCCTAGCACTTTGGAAGGCTGAGGCGGGTGGATCACCTGAGGTCAAGAGTTCGAGACCAGCCTAAACAACATGGTGAAATCCCGTCTCTACTAAAAATACAAACATTAGCTGGATGTGGTGGCATGTGCCTATAATCCCAGCTACTCAGGAGGCTGAGGCAGGAAAATCGCTTGAACCTGGGAGGCAGAGGTTGAAGTGAGCTGAAATCACGCCATGGCACTCTAGCCTGGGCAACAGAGAGAGACTCAATCTCAAAAATAATTAAATAAATAAATAAATAAATAAATAAATAAATAAAAGACAGGACAGGAACAGAGACTCATGCCTATAATCCCAGCATTTTAGGAGGCCAAGGCAGGAGGATATGCTTGAGGCCAGGAGTTGGAGACCAGCCTGGGCAACATAGAGAGACTCCAACTCTACAAGAAATACAAAAGATTAGCTGAGTGTGGTGGCACATGCCTGTAATCCCAGCTACTCGGCAGGCTGAGACAAGAGGATCGCTTGGTCCCAGGAAGTCAAGGCTCCAGTGAGCTATGACGACACTACTGCACTCTAGCCTGGGCAATGGAATAATACCCCATCTCTGAAAAAATAAGAGTAAAAATAAATAAAACATGAAATGCTGCTAAAAAAGTAAAAGGCACACACACACGCACAAGCTAAAGGGGTGAAACGCAAATGGCATTTGATCTTCTGTCTTCACAATTTTCAAAGATGTATTGATGTGAAAAATGTTATAATTATTTCAATTCAAAGCAGTAAATCTCTTAAATAGTTTTTGGTTGCAATTGCAGGCCCTGCTGTCTTGAGGTGTTAGCGTGTTCTCATTGGATTATAGACGAGGGCTGTATATATGGAAGATATGAGCCACGAGTGTTGTATTTTAGTGTGTGTGTATATATATATTTCCCACTTCATTTTCCTGTTAATTTTGTTTAATGTCTGAACATAGAGAGAGTTTAAAAGTTGTAATGTTTAATGTAGATAGAACCATTCAACTTTTCCTTTACAATTTTTTCATTGAGTTAATGTTTATCTTCCTTCCCTATTCAAAAATAAGAAATATACCTACATTTTATCATTCTTAAAATTTTTAATCAAAGTAATCACTGTACATATTTTTAAACCTGCAGAGTGTAATTGTGCTTCTTTGTGAAGCAACAGTCTCTCACCCTCCCCTTAATTACTCTTCAGATCCCAGAAGCAATATTTTTTCATTGGTCTATCACTGTTTTTCCTTAATCTATTTAAAATGCCTTTTACCTTAGGACAAATACTTTCATGTCATTCAATCAAGTGGTGGCATTTCTCCCCTTCTTTCCAGTTTCCCAACCTTCACACTTCTAAATTTTTACCATTTTACTTTTTAAACATTTTATTATGAAAATTCTTAAATATTCACAAAAGTAGAAAAAAATTTATAGTGAACACCCATGTACAATCCTCTAGATTCCATGTTTAACGTTTTACTATACTTGCTTTAACACATATCCGCCCATCTGTCCACACACTTATCCGCCCAACTATCCACCCATCTATCCACCCATCCATCCACCCATCCATCTACTCATCTATCCACCCATCTATCCACCCATGCCTCTACCCATCCATCCACCCATCCATCCATCCATCCATCTACCCATCCATCTACCCTTCTATCCACCCATCCATCCACCCATCCATCTACCCATCCATCTACCCTTCTATCTACCCATCTATCCATCCATCCATCCACCCATTTATCCAACCATCCATCCAACCCATCTATCCACCCATCCATCCACCCATCCATCTACCCATCCATTTACCCATCTATCCACCCATCCATCCACCCATCCATCTACCCATCCATCTACCCTTCTATCCACCCATCTATCCACCCATCCATCCACCCATCCAGCTACCCATCCATCTACCCTTCTATCTACTCATCTATCCACCCATCCATCCAACCATTTATCCAACCATCCATCCAACCATCTGTCCACCCATCTATCCACCTATCCATCCACCCATCTATTCACACATCTATCCACACATCAGACATCTCATTTTTTTAATGCATCTCAAAGCACCATCACAGACATTGTGTACTTTTACTTTGTTAAGGTCAATACTATACACATTCTGATGTGTAATCACATCTCACTTTTCTTTTGGCTGCAGTTTGACTCTAAAATTGAAAATCAATAAATAATATTTACATTTTGTGACAACTATCTGGTAAGGC